GTATGTATGTATGTATGTATGTATGTATGTATGTATGTATATCACGCAGTTCGGTTTCTCCGGAGAAAACACCTTTAACGAACGATACAGGTTTGGGATGGGTGGGGCCTGAGACGGGATTAACAGAGCACATACGAGCTCTGCGGAGCTCCGCCCACGGGAGGCGATGCCAAGAGCTAAAAATCTTATTTTGGCCCCGTGAAAGTCCAGACACCGGGAAAAAATGAGCAAAGGTGAGGATTGGGTCAACAAACCGAACGGAGGAGACCCACATGCTGTGGGCGGAGCTTTCTCAATATGGGCGATACTTTTTAAATATATTCATAACTCGATTCATTCAAGGCGCAGAGGCCAGGATAAAAACAAAAAGAGTGAGCAGGGTCTTATGCGTGCTAGGCACACGTAAGCTTAGCGACGCCCCGCCCACCACGGGCGGCGCGTGCGTTGAGACGAAAGCCATTTCCCAAAAATGGATGCAACTTCGCTTGTATACGTTCTAAAATGCGGGAAAAAATCCTCAAAGCGGGCGGGGTTGGTTGGAGGTAATGGAACAAGTGTGGCCAAATCCTCAAAGCGGGCGGGGTTGGCACCAAAGTGGGCGTAGCTTAGATCAAGAATATATAACTCCATTGAGAAACGTTGTGGGATGCGGGAAAAAAGTGGTAAGATGTAGCAGAACAAATGTGGTCAGATCCCACAAGTGGGCGGGACTGGCACTGAGGTGGGCGGGTCTAACATCAAAATTGTTAATTCTCTTCAAATGCGTGTTAGAACGCGGAGAAAAGGTGCGTGGTGGTAATAAAAGTAATGTGGTTCGGAGTCTGAAGTGGGTGGGGTTTGAAAGAGGGGAGCGGGACTGAGATCAGAAATTTATATATCTGTCCTTCACCCCAACCTTGACGAACTTGAACGAGTGTAGAACTAAGGGATATCACTAAAGACTTTCAAAAATAAGGCTAGGCCAAAAATTTCTAAAAGTTAGTGCCCACGGTTCCACACACAGCAGTCCCTTCTACACAAGAGCAAATGCGTGTAAATGTAAATGTAAAGACGAGTAAATCCCTACAACTACCCAAAGGGGCTGTCCTTTCAAAGTTAGTGTTCATGGCCACACACAGCCCATTTCACATCCAAAAAAATGATGGCCGCTACAGAAGTGTCAGGAAAGAGGTTCAGATGGTAGAGGTCTATAATGAAATTCAGAAGCTCATGTGGCTCCGTTCCTCATGGCTAGAGCCCCCAGCGCTCGCGATAGCGTGCGTACCAGCCTGATATCATTTGAATGTATTAGGTTGATGCATAATTATTGCGGATTATTTTCAGCAAATTTTACATCAAGAAACGATTGAAATATCTAGCAAAGAATGTTTAAATATTTGCTCCGGAACATATCCACCATCTACGTCTAGCACTGCTTCCCATCTGCTAGGTGGTCAGATTTCACAGGCGAAGAAGTTTCGATACTTGGAGGCGATCACGCCTCGACGTCGGCCACCAAGCCATCCACTTACCGAAAGTTGTAATCGTTAACCAATTTTTCAAAGGGCGATTGACGTGATAATCCATAGGAGTATCTGTAGGTGAATAGGGCGACGGCAGAAGCAGACTCCTTCCCTTGTTCGGCTCTGGCTGACTGTTCCATCAAAAGTTCGGTGAGATCACGTTATGAGTGTGCCGCCTTCCGACATTTCGCGAAGCAATAGAGCATAATGTGGCGTAGATAAAGATGACTTTCCAGACATATTTCTATTAAGTAGAGCGAGAAGATTATTTCTACAAAAATCCCAAAGTCAAAAGTTCAATTTTATCGAGAGAAAAGAAGCCGCAAAAAAATCCGCAATAATTATGCATCAACCTAATACATTGTATGATCAGCAGAGTTTTCGCTGTTAGGTAGACGAGATAGTTACTAATGGTGTTGCGGCTTCCGATGCTATAATAAATTTAAGTTGGCTAGAGATCCAGTCTATTCATTTACCTATAAATAAATCTTTTGAATACTGGACAACACACGATAGCAGAGTTTTAAATACGATGACTCGAATTCGCAGTCGGGCACTGGGCAATTCCTCTTGCGACCATGGCACCCACCGGTGGGTGCCAATCGCGCACGAAAGGAAGGGGCGTGGTCCTA